TTTATATCTTTATTTATATGTTTGTTTTCACAAAATATCACATTGTGATCTGAGAGTGGGAGCTCAACTTGCTGAATTTGCAAAGTACCACATTACAATTATACCTAAAATTTTTTTTAAGCAGCACTGACACAAATTTTCAAAGGCAACACAACATGAGGCTTATTTGTGTGGACACACATACATTACCTACAAAATATTAATGCAGATTAAGCGTAGAACATATTTTCAAACAATTTCAAAATGTCCGCCGGATAACTGCATGTGTAGTGAAGCACCGTAAGGGTCACTGGGACTATGTAAGCTTCTCCAAGTGTAATAAGTGCGCGATCGACCAAACGAAGTTTTCAGCCATAGTAAGCGGGACATTAGCTACTTACTGCAGCAGCAATGACAACAAAAGAAAATGAAAACTAAAAAAGCAAGAGGTGCAGTTTTTGTGCCTACTTCTTTAAAGGGCCTCTCACCATGTTTCACCATTTTGAGCTGACGAGCGCAATGTATAGACTGGATGCTCATGATCTCGCCTGCCTAATTTTGCGACATTACGTGCCATGGAAAGAGGTCAGATTTCAAGCTGAACACTGCTTTCACTTTCTCTCGTGGGCACGTGCCCCAAGGTAGAGGGCATGACATTAATCATTGAATGGACCGTATGTCGATATGTGTGCTCTGACGTAGCACACGGTTGCACGTGGTACTGTGATAATCATTTTGACACTGAGTATAGCTTGCCTAATTTGTTGCTTTAGTAGATTAAGGAAACTTGAGAGAATTAATAACACACACAAATGCAGTGCATGTTTTTTTTTTTTTTCTGCAATCACAACGAAATGTCAGCCTGTTTTGTCTCCATTTCGCATGCATTCGCGTTCTCGCGGTTGGTGTGTCGAACAGACACTAGCCCTGGAAACAAAACTAGTCTTCTACCGTGTTCAAGCACTCATTAGGACCATTTGTTTTCCCGCATCTAACAAAATGTTCATGCGGCACTGGTTGATGATACCGCTAGACTTGTGCCCATAGAATTGTCGCAACTTTGACAGCGATCGGCATGAGACCTGCGCATAGCTTACCGAGAGAATGTCCGACACAACACCCGCGTCATGGGGGCTTGGGCTGGTTCATGCACAACGTAAGCTCGTGAGCTTGCGTGTGCATAATGTTCATTGTCCATGTGTATGAGTTATGGGATTTATGGCTCGCGTGCTGAAGGGGCAGTGGAAGATTGGCTTGCCATGGTTAGTGGGGCTAGTGCAAGTGTTTCAAACTTTCCTCCTCACATCATGCATTCGCGCCGCTTCAGAATATTTGTTTTCCTCAGCTAGTAATGCACCGATTCGAAAAATTCTTGCATAAGGCACTTCATTGGGCACACAACAACGTCCAATGTCTAACTAAAATTGTGATATGACCTGGTGAGGGCCATTTAAGACTGCAGCTGCAGATCATGGAGAAGTTCTTAAGGTTGTGCACAGTATTGCTTGTAGTGAATACTTAAAGGGGGCCCTCCAAACTTTCTGAACATTATTAGAAAATGCTTCTTATTGGTAGTCTAGGCTTAGCAACATGTGAGCCAAACATTGTTTCACAGCTTGTGACAGTAAATTTAAATTTGATTTTAAAGTGAGCTTAAAATTGCTTGCTCTTTCCTCAACAAATGAGTCAACAAATGGTAGCCATATCTAAAATCAACTGCACCCGCCCCCCTTAAGCAGATGGTCGCAACCATTGGCTGACAGTGAACTGCATAGTTACTGTGGCTGTCACAGTGTGTTGCTGTGGCTCGCGCACATGCCAAGATCACACTTAAGTGAGCCATGCATGATTGACACAAGTGATTCGTGAAGCAGCAAACTCCAATAGTGAGGTAATCAATATCCACATGTAAAGTGTGGCAGGGCCCCTTTGAAGTCCTAGTGCATGTCTTATGACTCTCATTTGTGCATGCAGCTGTACTGAAGCATCACTAACAATGACAGGAAAGCGGTGTGCCTTAATGAGTGCTGTGTATCCACTCACCTACTAGCATATTCTCATTGTACTGCCTGCCCAGCTGAATACTCTGTTGTGATTATTTATCATGCAGCAATCTGCAAATTATCTTTGTTCAGTGCCTGCACGTAAATATTGTGGCATGTTTGAAGTGAAATTTGCAGTCTTGGCTTTTGGGGTGTGTTGACACTGTGAAAAGTTACACCCTTGATTATGTTACATGATTGCTGGTGCACAAGTCAATTTCTTTCAATTCGCTTCTCTATAGCTTACAGGGCTACAGCTTGCAGGCCACTATTTCTTCATCGGCTCTTAAGACTGAAATGTTTGTGCTCCTACCTAAGGGTGCCGAAAAGAGTCTCTTATACAGAAATTGCTTTTTTTCTAAGATATCCTGGGAAGCTCTACAATGAAGCTGCCAGTGCGTTGGTGAACGCCTACCCAAACTTGAGGGACACAACAGGAACTGGACATGTAAGCAGCTACTGTATTGCGGCGATGCCAGCTCTTGTATATTTGCTTACTGTACATAGTGTGCAAGTGTGTCACCAGTGCGCCGCTTCATCACTTCTGATTGGGCAACCGACATGTCTCGGTACCTATGGACGATGTCACAGCCTACTGCCGTGTCGTTTTGGGGAGCTAGCACCCACTCAGTCAGCTTCAAGATGCCAGTTTGTGCAGTTATTGGTAGTCCCTGAGGCAAGCTATCATGGAAAGTCATGAACAGAATACAAAGCGTGGGGAAGTTGTCTTCGTAAGAAGGTATTGTGAACGTATGTGCAGATTTGCAAAGAGTGCTGCCCTGTTTCTCTAGCACACATTAACAGAAGTAACTTGAAGAATCTCAATAATAATTGTGCCTGTAGGAGCGCGTGTCATTACAGTCATTGCAAGCAAGTGCTATCCAGGCACTTACCAGTAAACAAAAAGAGAGAATGAAATTTTATTTTACTATGGGTTGTGCCTTTTTTTTTCACTCATTGAGAAAGATCAGGTAACCTCTCCAGTTTTTTTTTTTTACTGCTTCTTACTGTCATTGTTTGTAGGTATGCCACTGTACACTAGTGCAAAGCAGTGTAAGAAAAAATACGAGGCAAAAAACCGCTAAACATTTCATATGAGGCAGAAGTAACAGGCATTTTTTGTACTGGCATGTGTTTCAACCCTGCGAAGTCACTACCCCGAACTTGCGCAGTTTCTATTCTTTGCTGGTTTTTGTGAATGCAGAGAAGAGAGCATCATCTTCTTCACGGTTTAAAAATGAGCAAAATTGCACTTTCTTGCTGTATGAACGCTTTGGTAGTGTGGGTACATCTCACGCAAAGTTACCTTACTTGACACGACAACCCAGCTGTTTCCATGGGAGCTGCTTCCCAATTAGACGTAAATGCTGTGCACTCAAGGGACACCGGGCTTTCATTTGTATCTGTGCCGCGTAGTTTGCAGTGAAAATGAAAGTAACCGAGTGTCCGCAAAGATCGTTGTGGGCAACATGTCCGCGTCTGCAGTGGCATCTCTCCTCATGGAAAGCCAGTGCAAGTCATTGTCGTAGCACTTTAAATGTTGCGTATATATCTATCAAGACAACTGGCGAACTGGCTTGGTACAAGGAGTTTGCCGAATTGAGACAGCAAAGCATCACACAGATTAATTTTCATTGTGCCCTGCGACAGCTGAACACTGACTCAAACCCTGCGCTGCAGGGCAGGAACAGCGGCTTAGATACTCAGGAGGGATGGCAGGAGAGGGCGATGGGCGGCTGTGACTTCACATGAATGCTACATATATGTAGAGTTAATCATTTAGGTCACTTTTTTTCTACGTCATATCGTTGAAGGTACACTAAAGAGGAAAACAATTTTTCTTGAATTAGTAAAGTATTTTTCCACAATACCAAAACCACCATGCTTGCTGTGAGAAGATGCCTAATAAGCGAGAAAACGTGCAAAAAAAAAAAATGGAGGTGGTGACGCCACCTTGGAATTCCCGCAGCACCATTTTCCGTGATGTCACATATTATCGATGGTGCCTACTAGGGCATACGTAGTTCTTAATCGGTTAAAATGAAGTATATTGTCCTCTGCGGGGCCAGAGACTTAACATAACAAGTGTGAGAAAATTTCATCGAGCCAGTGGTGCCAAAATTCAATAAATGCTCTTTGAAATTATTGATGTTGTGTTTTACAAAGTATGGTGCGAAATTCAAAAATAACACTTTCAACTTGATTTTCTCCTCTAATAGTTAATCTTTTGGGGAGAAATTAATGACTTGAGAGTTTCCCGAGCACACTTTGTCAATTTAAACCAGTTCATCGTTTCTCTTAAATGTGCCTTTAGGTAACTACAGCATTAAAAACTCTGCCACTATCCATGAAAACATGTTTCGGTGTGCATTGATTGGCATTGGTTGAGTTTTGGTCACACCTAAGCTTCTTAGCTAATGCTTATGTGCAGAAGAAAAGTGTCTTTGTTTACATTATTTGATTCTTATGACACTCTGTTATCTGCATTTTCCATTCTTCACTAGTTGAAAAATTGTAGGTTACTGTGTTAACAGAATAGTGAGCATAGTTCTATATTGTGCTTGCTCGCTGCATAGTCTGTGTGAAGGCAGCTGTTCTCAGCCTAAGCTACATAGTGAGCAGAGCTTTCATCATGAATTTTTGTGCTCTGCAGGAATCGTGGCGCGAGGCCCTAAAGTTCAAGGCAAAGTATGAAAGAAAAAAAATGAGAGTAAACACAGGGGAACTGCCTCCTGTTGTAGCAAAAAGGCCACGCAAGCAGCCTACTTCTGCAGAAGTGCAGAATCGAACCACGAGACCTTCCATAGTAAGAATACAGGCACACAGAAGCTTATGCTAGGTGCACTTGTTTATGCAGCATCTAACATTTTCCCTCTTCCCCCCCCCCCCCTTTTTTTTTTTTCAGCCAAGTGGTTTTTTTGATGCAGAAGATGATGAGAGCATCCTGGCACACATCACCGGCATGCAGAAAGAATGTAAAAAGGCAAAGCCAGATCATGAATACGTGAAAGATAGTATGTTGAGGACATTCTCTGCAAGGCGAGATTGGATTTCGAAAGAAATTCCGTCCATCGAAGACATTACAGATAGGTACCCAGCATTGATGCTGGCGACGATCGTAAGTTACACTTTTATCAGCTAACTAAAAAAACATTTCGTGTTTATTGGGCTGACGTCTTGCTGGTTCAATCTTTTGCCGAATTTGTGGTTCTAATTTCAAAATTGTAATTGAAGTTAATCTAGCTCCTATATTTCCCGAATTGTACAATCTACTAGAACAAAATACAAAGCAACCTTGTTAATATGTGCCTACAACCACAGTCTCCAGCCGTAGCTTATGTAATTTTTCAGTGCCGTCCACCCAACAAAATTATTGTAAACATCGCCAACAGCTCGTCATGGCATTCGACATCACTTTTGGCCAGTCTGAAAAATTGAATAGCGCATCGTGGGGCATCCGAATTTTCAGTCGACGCCTTACGTTACTTCAATGAGTTTGTTAGTGGTGCTGGATAGGTGTTCAAATTTTCAGCTTCTGAATACACTGTTGGCTACTGTATAGTATGTGGGCGTTCTTATGCACTTTTGTCCCGGGCAAAATGAATCAGAAATGGGAGTTAGCAGCTTAGGTCAGACCCACTGAAAGTTCTGAGAGCACTGTGTACAGTGCACTATGAAAAAAGCTGCTTCTCGGAGCTGTACGGGATGAAAATTGGTAACAAGTCCCGCGGAAGGTATAAAGTGCTAACTTGCTGCAAGCAGAGCCAGCACACACACTGTATCTTATCTTGAATCGCAACGCCGTTGGCGAGCAAACCACTGACGGCCGTTTTGTCTAAGGCCGAACCAATGGCATGATGTTCTGTTCAACCTTTAATTCTTTCAGCAGCAGTTACAGACGTCCTACAAGAGCATGCAGAAAAGAAAATTTTAAAGCATAATAGAGATGTCATAAATGATGAAGTGGTTTTGTGTCTCAGACACGTGATGCACGTGTCTCAGAAGACACGTGCATCAATCTGTGCTGCGGCGGTATCGGTTTCTTCCTTTCTTTTGATGCTTTTGTCGTCAGAAGCTGCCAAGAAAAAGCAGCCTGACCAGACAAAGTGTAATACGCTATTGTCTATGGCTCTATACCTTTCTTTTGAGTGAGCCTTGTGGTGAAAGTTAGCCAGGCCAAGACGCAGGGTCTCTCGCCCAAACTGAAAATGAACACATTAAAGCAGTAAAATACAACTCTCAGCGTCATGAGAATGTTGGAATGGTTGATTTCTTGCTGCAGAAAAAGAATCACGCTTGTAGTAATGTTCAGGCATCAGGCCAATGAGGTTGCTTTCAGTTGAAATAGTGCATATTTGAAAATATTCTGTTCTATTGCACCTACTTCCTATTATTCGTATTTGAAAATGTTTTTATGAGATTTCTCAATAGTTTTCGAAGATCATTTATTCATTGTGCATTTTATTAACACCTCCCTTCTGTTTTCTTCTTTGAATGATCTAAACACCACTAGTTGATTAAGCAGTTTTTTTTAACTAACAAGCTTATTAGAGAGTTACAGCCTAGGGGAAAATGGCATCCACCTTCACTTAAAGGGGTGAGAACACCAAAGCTTGAGGCTATGAAAAGCCTGTTCTAGGTTTCCTTTATATGCAACGACACTTAGTACAAAGTGTCGAACACAGCAGTCGTTTAGAATAAGTTTTCATTCACTTCCAAAGTGTGCCTAAATGCTTATTCTCGCGATCAAGACCAATCACTTGAGCGGCTAACACTGACGTTAGTCTGTATGAAGTGTGAAGTGCAACGAAAGTTTTAGTGGCGTCAAACCAAGCACCCTCATTTTTTCTCAGCGCGTTGCCGAAGTAACCAAACTTGGATTTTTAAAAGTGCTTCACATCGTCATCCAAACTTTCAAAGGCGACTTGAGAAAATTTGTTTCTAGATCGGATTGGTTGGGGCACCTGTCGGCACTTCAAAGAACTAGGCAAGGGTGCAATCATTGTTGAAGATATATAATGTATTATACTTCTCTGCTGGTGGAAATTCTCAGGAGGGACGTGGTTCCGAATCGGCGAGAAGAGGCGCTGTTTGAATGCATTGCCTTTCATCAATTTTTCGCCATGGTTGCTTAGTTAAAACAATAAAGCAAATTCATAATTCTGGTTCATTGAAGGGTCATGAGATGTCGATACCATTAACCGGTAACCCAGTACTCAGATTTCTGCATATACTAAAATTTCATAAATGCTAATATTCTCTATTAGCGAATTTTAGCATGTTTTTAAGGCATCCGGGCGGTTGCTCGGGTAGTTGGGTGTGTGTAGCCGATGGAGCACAGCGTGTGTCACAGCTTTGTGGGCCCACGTGTTCAAGCTTCCTACAGGTGGCATGCATCACTCTCTGACCAGTCACTCAAAAATGGAAACGAGAAGTTCATATAAATAGGCTGATATCTAATTACCTAGCGAGAATATGTGAATCTTGCAGCAATAGGAAACATTTCCAACAAATAATGCATAAGCTACAGTTTTGATGGCATCACCCCTTTAAATTAAAGTTCGGTATCACTCGCGGAACACCTGTTGAACTCTCACAATTTTTAAATGTCGACCAGGTGAACACAGTGAATCCGTGTAGATTTCTTTGTTGCTTTGTTCTACAAAACAGATGGTGGCAACATGGTACCCTTTATAACCCTTCCTTTACCTTTCGGGATACCACAAGACTGATTTGCCAATCGGAAACTCTATCAATTGTGTAGTGAATGGATATTTACTTCTTGGTGCCCTTTCGGAAACTTTTCCCTGTTTTGACTGCATGTTTGTGAATTATTCTACTTTAAAATAAGGCAGCCTTCCTCATGCCACACAGGCTGTTTTTTACTGTGCTAAAATCATGACTGATGATTCTGCTATAATTACCTCTTGTTTGGCTTGGTATCGTGTAGCTGAAGAAATTAAATTAGTTTAAATCATTTCAATAATTGAGCACTGAGACGTCCACATGTATGGGCTACTGTTGGAAATTATAAATGGGATCTTAGGATTGAAAATTAAGTAAGACTTGACTTACTTGCTTTTGTTGTTTACTGCAGCAATAATAATATTGATGTTTTTTTTACACTGTCTACGTGAAGGCTCGGAACGAGTTTCAAACCCAGACGGGAGTTTCTCTGCCAGAGAAACTTCAAGAGGTTCTCACCCCAGCATCTAGAAAGATTATCGAGGTGGCCAGAAAGAAGCGCCACCTGAAGCACTTCTTTTGCACCTTTGACGAGGCAGCAAGTGCCGCACAGCCTCCCCACAAAGGTATTATTTTGCATGAGCTTTGAGGGCTTTTAGTAACAACTTAGTTTCACATTGTTGAAGAACCAGTCTGATGTATTGAATGCATTGAACAAAATATGCCTGTGCCTTATAGGTTGGCAGTTAACAGCTCTCACTTTTTGCAGTGGTGACCCGCGGGTCGCGGGATCGCATCCTGGCTGCGGCGGCTGCATTTCCGAAGGAGGCGGAAATGTTGTAGGCCCGTGTGCTCAGATTTGGATGCACGTTAAAGAACCCCACGGGGTCGAAATATTCGGAGCCCTCCACTACGGCGTCTCTCATAATCATAGGGTGGTTTTAGGACGTTAAACCCCGCATATCAATCAATAAATCAAACTTTTTGCAGTGGTATGTTCTTTCGTTTTTCCCTAGATGAGGTGATTTCAGCAGACTCCACTCACTGCAAGGGATTGTCACCATTTGTCATATGCTCTATTAATCGATTGATTGATATGTGGAGTTTAACGTCCCAAAACCACCATATGATTAAGAGAGACGCTATGTCGGAAAGTTCTGGAAATTTCGACCACCTGGGGTTCTTTAACGTGCACCCAAATCTGAGCACACGGGCCTACAACATTTCTGCCTCCATCAGAGATGCAGTTGGGATTCGATCCCGTGACCTGCGGGTCAGCAGCCGAGTACCTTAGCAACTAGATCACCGCAGCGGGACTATAGTCTAGTGCCAAGCGGCAGGCTACAAGGGAAAGCTCTCCATTCCGTGCAACAAGGTGGCACATTTTTTCTATATCAACAGTTGATTGGTGGACTACACTGAGTACTAAAAAACTGCACGAAGGGGAAGATGGAAGCTTGTGATGAAGAAATCCATAGACAAGGGTTCTTTTCTCGAGCCTTGAAAATACAACCCTTGTTTATGGATCTCTACATTGAGCACAAATATTTTAAACAATGTGCATCCGATTGAAACATTGAGCACAAATATTTTAAGCAATGTGTATCCGATTGAAGGTGGAAGGAGAAGATGGAAGTTCGTGATGTGAAATTTGTAAAAAGGGTGTGTGTTCTGGACCCAACGTTTCAACAAGTAAACTTGTGCTTTTCAAGACAAAACTGGTCACTCGTGTTTACGAATTTCTCAGTGCATCTAATTTGTAATACAAAACTAATGCTGTGGTCACAAGGCTAAACTTCAGACTTCTTGCATTGTGGCTTGTAAGGAACTCAACTAATACAATTATTTATTTGCAAAAAATAACAGGCCATTTTCTTGACATTAGCTTGAGATGTTCAAAAATAAAAATGAATGAAAGATAGCTTCTCAGTTCCTGCCAGCGGCAAGCTATCTTTTCGTCCACCTTACTTTCTTCAGATTTTGCACAAAATATACTACACATACTATCCTCTGTACTTTCTTTGGGTTTTTGGTTTGTTCTAATTAATTCATCATGTTTGATATTTTATGTGCTGAAATTCTTTCTACAGCAAAGTTAGAATAAATACTCTTTTAGTTTCATTTCTCCTGTTGTTTATCATGAAAACCTATTAAGACCAAGAAGTATATCATTTGGGTAATAAGTACACTAAAGGTTCAGAAATTATGAAAATGACAGGAAAGTGTTATCAGCAGATGAAATGTGTTATTTTCAGGTAAATTACTTTTTCTTCATGAAGCTAGTTTCAGAATAATTTTTCTCAGTTCGAAACCTGTGGCTAAAGTAAACTTCATCATCGTCGAAAATGGCAGTCAGGACTACCCCTTTGTTCTTGTCAGAATTGGCGCTGTGGCTTTTTCAATTTTGTGTGTTAGGTTTTTTTTCTCTTACTGGTAATAAAACTTCATAATTCCAAGTTAGTTTACCTTGCATGCCATTTCACACTGAGCAGCACTCAATTTGTTGCAGCTTGTTTGGTTTACTTGGAGAAGGTTCAGTTCTCGCTAACATTATAGCATATTCTGTACTTTCCAAGTATGTAGCGAGTATTTTCAGCCTCTTGCATCACAATACACTGTGGTGCTTCATACTGCTCATTATCAATAAATGTTTAGTGGATATGTGATCAAAGCTGCATGTCAAAAAAGTCACTTGGTTTAATTTTCTTCTGCGAAGCCAGGTTTGCGTGCTTTCACCTGGATCACCTGTGAATTTTACATTCCGAAGCCAAGTTTTCTCATGTTGCTTCTGTGTGTTGATTGACTGCTTGAGTTTCTTCAATAAAAAAGCTGTCTTGGTCAGGAATTTCGACATGGCGCCACTGACCTGCCATGGCAGTCTCTTTACCCACTGAGCTGAGCATGAGGTTAGGTGTTCATAGATGTATAGAAAAAGAACTCAAAAGATGCCTTTATTGGCCATTATATAGTTACCTCATAACAGCATGGTAAATAATTTCAGTGTGTGTTCCTGCCTGGAGCTTTACATAGATAACTTCGGATTATTCAAGCCTAATTTATGAAATCTGTTTGTTTCAGACCTCGAGCTCACCGCCTCAATTTGCGTCTTACCAAGCCTTGTGAAAGAGAGGATGGAGGCTTTCATTTCCCCCTATGTAAGATTACCTGGAACTTTTATGTTGATAAGACTTTTGGTATCCTCCCATAAGCTTAAGGAATTACTGGCAAAATCCATATGTGTTCCTGAATAGGCAAAGTAATGCATGCAAAAGCTACGTGCAGTGCTGTGAGCTGGCCAATTTTCCCAAAAGAATTCCTCAAAAATGAACAGTGCCTTGGAAGTTTTGATGGCTTTGATGCTCTCATGTAAGAGACTACTAAATAATTGTTTGTGAACAACTATCACTATATGCTAAGCAGCGACACCATTTCAGCAACCTTTTATAGAGACAATGGTTTGAGTAAGAGAGCAAAGGTTCTAAGTATTTGGAGATATATTGAGTGTGTCAGGGACCTTTTATTAACATGTGAAGTTAAAGCGCTCGTTCCGCAAATGTTTCTGGCGTTCGTGGTGGCAACATTATTGGCTGAGAGTGAAAAGTCGGCATTGTATACAAATGTAAAGTTTAGAAAGATGAAAGGAAATGAGTACTGAGAAAAAAATCTTTGACCAAAGTGAGAATCGAATCTATACCTTCTGTGTGGGAAGCAGGTGTTCTACCATGAAACCACAATAGTGCTTCAAGTTACGTTGTAAAAAAAAGTGCTCATAAAAAACATGAGAATTAACAATAAAAACAGCACCGACCACAGTAGAAGTATAGTCTTAAAAAATTCGTTTCGGCCCTCACACAGGAGCCTAGTTAACAATAAAGCATGAGCAGCAAGTTTGCTTTTTTATACGGTCGTGTAATCATATTCGAAGCCACGCATACGCTGGTGGAAGATTACCACAAAAGTTTAAAGGTTTGAATCAAATAAGATTCTAGATTAAACCATAGAAAGTTTTTTTTTTTTTTTTTTTTTTTTTTTTTTTTTTTTGCTATGAAGGAAGCACCTTCCCAGTTGATCACAAGGTCTGTAAGTACATGTTCGGCGAGGGAATTTTTCATCACCCTTTCATTTTTCACGTCATCACAGTGCTCGCATAACTTTCTCTTGAAGTTGTCCATTTCACCTATATAAACTTGTGTGCAATCTGCGCATGGGATTCAATGGACGACACCTAGAAACTTCTGCTCTAACTTGTCCTTGACGTTTGTGAGGCTGTTTCCAAGTTGCAGAGCAGGCACATGTGAGATTTGTACGTCGTATAAACGTAAAATTTTGGTGAGTGACTCGCTGGAGCCCGGAAGACACTACACAGATGGTCTCTTCTTTATTGAAAGATTGCTTGGCTGAATTGGCTGTAAAAGTTGACAGTGGACAGAGTTGATGATTAACAATGGGTAACTGGGTAGACTCAGCAATGTGAAATTCAGGTAGCAGGCAGTATGCGTGCTCTTCCTTTAGACTGAGAACTTCAAGCCCCCTGTCTTCTTACTTTATGAGGATCACCTGAATTCAATCCATGACTATATATTTCACGGGAGTAAGAATGGGATGACTGCCTTTTTTCCTCAACCTCGTAAAACGACAAAAGAGGGGCTTGAAGTTCTTCATCTGCAAGAAGAGCACGCATACTAGCTACGACCTTAATTTAAGATCCCTGAATCCTTCCTGCCACAAACACCGAGTCTCGACACTTACAACGGGCTCAGCGGACGCACGGAGCGATTTGGAGACCGTCCATCAGGAGCTGGCCAAATGTGATTACCTGTCTTCATGGATCAATTCAGTCGATCGTCAACTTTCTTGGTCAATTTTAGTAAAGAAGAGGCCATTGGTGCCATGTGTTCCGGACTTCTGTGGGGAACTCTCCAGACGTTTACATTCCTACGGCTTATAGGTCTCACATATGCCTGCTCTGAAACTTGGAAACAGCCTTTCAAACATCAAGGACAAGTTAGAGTGGAAGAAGTATTAAGGTGTCGTCTACTGAATCCCATACACAAATTGCACACAAGTTTATATCAGTGAGACCGACTATTTCAAGAAAAAGTTACGCGAGCACAGTGATGATGTGAAAAACAAAAAGGGTGATGTAAAATGCCCTCGCCGAACATGTATCCACGGGTCATGTGATCAACTGGGAAAGTGCTTCCTCCATAGCCACAGAAAAAAAAACAACTTTCCACGGTTTAATCGAGAATCCTTGTTGAATCAAACCAAGAGCTGTGGTGATCTTCCACCAGCATATGCGTGGTTCCCGACATGTGATTACATGACCGTATAATTAAGCGAACTTGCTGCTTATGCTTCATTGTGAACAAGGCTCCCATGTGAGGGCCAAAACGTCTTTTTTAAGCAATGTACTTTTACTCTGGTCGGTCCTGTGTTTTCACTATCAATGTCATTCCCCGGGCAGACGGGATTCTACCGTACTCTTATAAACATGAGAATTGGATAATAAATGGGTGGTTTAGAGCTGCCCACCCATTACAAAGTGTAAAAGTGAAGGTGCCCGTGGCAGCTTACAGTCGCACAGTGAATACTTCGCCAATTTACAAAAGGACGAATTTTCGCGTAGTGCGTGCTTTACAAGTTTAGTAGCAGTAGGCATTCTAGGATAGTTTCAAATGGCCACGTTACACATGAATGTACCGTTCTTTGTGGCACGATTCGTTGTTGTGCGCATGGGGCCAGATTATGCTATCGTGCTCTTCGCTCTTGTAGACGAAGCTGAAGCGTCCTGCTAGCTTTTGTTTCTAATCTGCATTCCTAGTTGAGGGAACTACTCACCAGTAAAACGGGTATAAAAATCTAGGCTCATTATCCTGTCTAAAACTACGCATCAGAGATGTCAGATATTTCAAAACGTTCAACTAACTATGAATGGCTGGATGTGCTGCAGAGAAATTGTATTAACACCACTCTTATCAGAAGGAACTTGCTAGCTGACAGACTAATCCCCGTGTTGGAAAGGCTTGATGCAACATTGAGAAGAATTGACTTAATTCCTTGCAGCAATAAAGAACATTATGTGGTCTAAATTAATGCAGACGTTCGCTGCAGCATGCCTCATAGCTCTATCGTGGTTTGACATTTAGCATCTCTTAATTCAGTGTTCCTTTTTGCAGTGCCCTGATACTTCATACTCGGTGCCCACGGTAACATTTGAGGGCACTAGCCTGCTTGAATCGACTGGCCTCAAGGTACAGGTGGAGAATGTCTCCATCGCTGAAGACAACCTGCTCTACGCTCTGGCAACTACGATTGCCCTCTACTGGGCCTTCGATATCGTATTTCCTTTGAAAGCGCAAAGAACTTTTGATTTGTTTTGCAGACTGCTAGGAGTGTCTAGCGGTGTGCAGCCAACACCTATAGTGCGTGTGGCACAGACACTGCTGCAGTAAAAATCCAATAAAATGTGTGAATGGAATGTTTCTTTATTTTTGTCTTACAAGCACCTAAGGAGCACTTCATGAAGCCCCTCTGCTTGTTTTTTAAGAGTCAGAAAAGTGATTTTGACTTGAAAAATTCAACCACAATCCAAGTAGCTCGGGCAACGTGCTAAGACCTTGAAAAACATTTTCAGAATGAACATATAACCCCAGGAGTAACTGCAGATATGCATGGAAAACTTAACAGTTCATCCTCGGGAAAGTAAACCGAGAATGAGTGGTTCATTTGACAGAGTTACTGCAAGAACAAACATTTATTCCATGGGGAGCAGTCGGTGAGACCAACCGTTAGTCCTTGAGGAGCAAGTGGTGAGAGTAACAGATGGTCGTAGGGGAGCAAGTGGCAGGAGCAACTGTTGGTCTTTGGAGAGCATGTGGCGGGAGTAACAGTTGGTCTTAGAGGAGCAAGTAGCAGGAGTAACTGTTAGTCTTTGGGGAGCATCTGGCAAGAGTAACAGTTGGTCTTTGAAGAGCAAGTGGCAGGAGTAACCGTTGGTCTTTGGGGAGCATCTGGCGGGAGTAACGGTTGGTCCTCAAGGAGCAAGTGGCAGGAGTAACCGTTCTTCCCCTAAAGGAGTAAGTGAAAGGAGAGTAACGGTTCCTCCCCTTGCAATTGCTCCTTTTAGGGGAGTAATGGGAGTGGCAATGCACTTGCTCCCTCAAAGGAGGAACCCCTATACCCCCGTTGCTCTGTTTTGGCTTAGAGTGTATACGAGGAGAAGGTGGACTCGTGCGACGGAGTAAGTCCGTACACACTTCCACCCGGAATGGACACTACTTGAAATATTTCTGCGATCGCAGAGGTGTCGTACGGTGACATCGTGAACGATTTGGTTTTTAGCACGAATTTCGTAACTTAGGCGAATTAAAGGCTTTAAAATCAGTGGAAGCGCACAACCATACTTCGCCAGTGGCTGAAAAAAAAAAAAAGAACAAGCTTGTCTGCTGACAGAGAGCTTCGCGACGGAGTGATCGTCGTTGCAGAGGTAGAGAGAGAGAGAGATAAAGATGAAAGGAAAGGCAGGGAGGTTAACCAGACGCACATACGGTCTGCTACCCTGCACTGGGGAAGGGATGAAGGGGAGAAAAGAGGTTGCGGAGAGATGAGAAGGTACACACAATCACGAGCACACTCGGGGAGCACACACAGTCTACAGGCGGTCGCTCAGGTTGGTTGATTTTAGGTAAAGTAGCAGTCCTTTAGTTGTTTTCTGCGCAACTGAGGCAGATGCCCAAGGTCCTAGTATCTTCTGCACACAAAATGGTCCGGGTAAGTTCATGAAATCCATACAGCCCCGTATATATATATATATATATATATATATATATATATATATATATATATATATATATATATATATATATATATATATATATATATATATATATATATATATATATATATATATATATATATATTCTCCTCGACGCATTTCGCGCTTCCGTAGCGATAAGCGCACACACGGCGTCTAAGTACAGATTGTACAGGTGTATATACTATACGGTCACTACTTTCACGCTGCGATGCGCGCGTATCGCAGCCAGTGGAGCGACGTCCATTAAAGCGCGCCCTTCGCGCGCGCGGGAAGAGTTCAGACAACCTCGAGGCGTTGTCGAGGACGAACATCTGTAGCAAGAGAGCTTCCGTAGTGGTGTATTCGCAGGTTGCGCATTAGAACGTCAGCTGAGCTGCCGGTCGGCACACTTTTTGAAGCTGATCGAATCACCTAAATAACGGGACACTGTCGGCAACGCCCGATAGTGTGTGTATGTATATATATATATATATATATATATATATATATATATATATATATATATATATATATATATATATATATATATATATATATATATATATATATATATATATATATATATATATATATATATATATATATATATATAAGGGAAAGAAGTGTATACCTAAGGGCTCGTTTTTCCGTGTTTTTAACACAATAATAATGAGATATAACAGACAGTAATGCCAAGGAATGTACAGGGGAAGTTATTAACAACAATGGAATGTAAATAAGAAGAAAGAAAAGTGGATGAAAAAATTACCAACTGTAAGCAGGAACTGCTTACAGTTGGTAATTTTTTCATCCACTTTTCTTTCTTCTTATTTACATTCCATTGTTGTTAATAACTTCCCCTGTACATTCCTTGGCATTACTGTCTGTTATATCTCATATATATATATATATATATATATATATATATATATATATATATATATATATATCCTCTTCCTCTTGTTCATCCTTCTCATAGCAAGGAAGAAATGTTGTACAGTTATACCGGTTTGAATACTATATTACTCCGTTAATCCGTTTCAAAAGCTGTTGGCAGCAGCGCTGTGAAAGGTAGAGCTCTTTCGTCCAGCCAGGGCCGTGTGAGCACAGAAAATACTCCATGAACTATTTTCGAAATCCAGAACAATTTCGCAAATTAAATACACATAAAGTGGCAGTTATGACTGATGTTAAAAAGCGTCAAAACGTTTCATCATTTCGTGTAATATAATAGAAAAAACCCACATGGATGCAGCAGAGCGGATGCTTATTGTGAGAGAGTGACGGAACATGGCGTCGCCCGAGTTGGTCGTGCGTCTGCAACGCGTCCAACAAACTGTCTCCGATGGGCTGCTATCCATTGAGTGTGCGTGATTTTCCCAAGCTGGTTAATCAGGGAGCTTTAAACGTTCTTCAAGTACTTCGCGTCGAGTGCGGGCAGAGTGCACGCGTGGATCCATTCACCAAAAGGACGTAAGAACCTGACCAGGTGAGCGAGCGAACGCTTCGTCGGCGGAAAACGATGGCCGAGAACGCGGGCAAAGTCCTATACCACCGAACAAGCGATCTTATGAGGAAGGCCGTGATCGAGCGAAAGGGCTGGACGATTTTGACCTGAGCGTCTTTCGATGGGTGTTGCACATCGTTTTTGAGAGTTGAAATTTCAACAATCGCCAAGATCGTTTCGAAGAGGACGAGGCGCTACAGACTATGCCAGGTTTTCCTCCATATAGTGTTGACGACGACAATGCAGCTCTGGATGTTGAAGCAGCTTGGCTTCATCTACAAGGAATATTCTTGGGACGCATTTTTCACAGAATCCACGCACATTGTGCAGTGTCGCAGCCAGTTTCAGAGAGCTGCGATGCCATTCTTTCGTGTCCTTCTTGTCTCTGTGTCGTCGTTTTGTTCTCGCGCTATAACTATCGTCATGACATTCTCAAGTTGGGACGAGTACAATGAGATGCGAACCTTTCTAACGAGATGACGGCAATAATTAAATATTGCGTGAAGGACGGGATCATTCAATACTACACAGTGAGAGTATAAAACACGAGAACAAAAAAGTAATGCATATTCTATTATGTCTGGAAATAAAGGTTCGGATTGTCTGACTCAGTTATTCATGTAAATTTATGTATTTAACGAATGAAGTAAATATTTTTTTTCTATACTTGTGGCATGAACACTTAAAAAAGCTCTGCTTTGACAAGAACTCACAGAATCAGGCACCATTATATAAATAGACAAATTCAGGCAAGTTCTCTTGGAACTAATTTCGGTCTGTCAGAAGATAAACTTAACTGATCATGAAGCTGCTACAAAACTAAAATGTTAATTAGTATGGTACACACCTTTCCACGCGGACGGGGCCCTTTGTCTGATTCACAGAAGTGACATTCGCGTAGGAACACAATTGTGTAGAGCACTCTGTCATGATTGGTTAAGAGTGTCCGTGCCTTCCACTGCACTGCACAACAGCTTGTGAAACGGAGTTTACATATAGTACAGTTTTTCCCTAACATGAAGTTCGATTTTGTATGTTCAATCGCTGCTTGACTGGAGATGCGCGCGAGCGTTCCGTAACGTTAGCGCGCCTTTCTATCACGTGGTCCAACTTCGGGCGTGCTTGAACGCTATAGCACTTGCCGCGTTGCGGCGTTTAATCCAGCGCCGACTGATGTTTATAAGTCAGAATCCGATTGCGAGCCTTTCTGTCGATGCGTCCTGGTTTTTGCGCCCTGCTACCAGAACTTATTACCGAAAAAAAATTGGTTTACCCAACTAAACCAAACTGCAGTTTTGCTACGACTGTATGCGTTGGCCAGTTGTTCGGAAACACTGGGCGCTGTTCGGGCCGGTGGTGATGCTTCGCTGTAGAGAGCGGGGAAAAGTTGAGATTAATGGAAGACTACGTGAAGCGCACGCACGCAAGGGGAAAGTCTCGTGCATGGCGTAAGCAGCCAGCAGGCTTTTCTTTTTCCCGAGATCGTGAATTGTTGCATGCACAAACGTGTGCGGCTATTCTGCTTTCCCGTTTATCGGTCAGTACGCGCGTCACACTGGAGCGTTTCTTCTTTTTTTTTTTTGCGCGTAAACGGCTGAACCTGCGTGACGTCTTCGTGAGAGATACACCCCGGCACAGCTGATGGTCGTGCAACTGTGCACGCCGTGACGTGCTCTCTCCGTGAGCGCTTGCCTCCAAAAAGGCTTCGGGGACAAGGAGGAGATTCGCGCGTGAGTGGTAGGCTGGCAGGTGTGCGGGGGACGGAGTCGTGTACTGCATGACCCGAAACGTACGATGCGGGATCCACGGTCGTTGCTGTGACTGCGGCTTCATATCCATTCTTCGCTCGCATCACTTTTTATTCCGTATTCTTTATGACCTCTCATTCGGTCATTCCAGCGACGCAGGCGGCGCCATGTAGCCGTGCTCCGAAGCTGTCGCGCGGTGATAAAACTACGACGCAGTTCGGTCTCTCGGTAGTCGTGAACCAGTGAACGCGTCTTCACGCTCTGCGACGCTGACGTAAACGCTCGCGACATCATCGTCTCGTCCGCCATTTCGACCTTCCGCTGCGCCGCCTATAGACGCTGGAATGATCGAATAGCGGGCATAATTGATTGATATGTGGGGTTTAACGTCCCAAAACCACC